AAAAGTCAATATTTTCCATCTTTTGTCGACATCCAGACATCTCTGAGAAGGTCTGGTTAGAACTAAAGTCATTTTTCTAGATCTGTGTACTTTTTGACATGTTCAGGTTTATGTAAAGACAGCTTAAGCTTTGAAGGTTCCATATTATGGTATTTTAAACCTTTTAAACAAAGGTAGGCACAGTATATGATAAAACATTGCTGTTGGCACTATTAAGATGTTATTTTTCTTAAATGTGAGTTATTTTAGTCTGCTTGAATTTACACCCAGAAGTAAAACTATTTGTTTCAGTGAAACTCCGCCCACGCCTGCTTTGACAAAATCTTCTTAGGCAAATTAGATACCATATTATCTATAATAGTCCAGTGGTAAAGGCGTCTGCCTGCCATCTAAGCTTTGCCATGAGCTGATGTGGGTTTGACTCCCGGTGGTGTCGGCAGTAATTTATTTAGCCAGGTGAAGCAAATTTCATGTTTTTATATTTAAGTTTTATTGGGGTTTTCTGCAAAATCGTTTGTGTCTTCAAAGACCTTTGAATTTGGTCATTTCCAAGAAGCATTTTAGTTGATTTACTCTGCTCTCCTCACATGGACTCACACTGGCTGAATAAACAAAGAAAGAAAAACATATTAGTCCTAATATTTTAAAGAGTTTAGGATTGAAAACATCATACTGGGAAGTGCAGCTAAAAAAAGAAGGAAAAAGTTACTGCTGATACCGGGACGTGAACCTGCACGCCTGTCTAGTACACTAACCACTAGACTACCAAGTCTATGACATGACACCTGTCACTTATGCCACATATCCTAACCTGGCCAGGAGAGACAGGTTTCAGACCGTACGCTAGCTTCTGGGGGAGGAGCAGAGCCTGATGTTAGGACCAGGAAGATGGAGTGACGTACAACTTATACATTAAGCCATTTTAGGACTTTCAAAATTAAATTCTAAATTTGCAGCTGATACTGGAAAAGGAATGAATGCAGCCAAAAATGGGTTTGAGTTTTTTCTTCTTGTTTTTCATGAGGAAACAACAATTTTACATGCTAAAAAGCTCAAAAAATGGACTTTTCACGATATGGCCCCTTTAATTCTGTGTTTTATATTTATAAATCATAAATTCACACTCTAATCCACCCTGCAGACTTGTTTGTGACTAGTTCATGACGTTAACCAAACCACCTTTATTACCAAGATATAATGTCACTGGCTGGATTAAAGAGATTTGCTTGTAATGGAAACAACAAACATGTACTTTTAATCCAAAGGAGTGTTTTTTGTTTTTTACTTTTTGTGCTGTTTTTGGAAAATCCATCATTGTTTAAAAGAACAAAATGACATCTCTTTATGTAACAGCTTTAAACTGTAATACCCTTTTGTAACTGCACTGCTGCTCATTCAACTGGTTTAGATAAACACGTCAGCCTTTTGTCTGCCGGTATAAATGTGTTGTTCCTCACATGTGCCATTTTATTTAAACAGTAAGAAAAAATGAACTTTTCCATGTTTTTCCACAAAATTGTGTAGGAAAACAACCCCTTTTGGCCCTTTTAACACCTCCTGACTCACATAAACAACAGGAAATATAAACTTGTAAAAATATTCTTCAGCTCTACCTTTTGCTGTCTTTAATGACAGAATTGGACAATATATTATATCGTTTCTATGTATCTTCCTTTTGTTCTGACACGATGTGGCTTTTGGCATCATGTACTGTTTTCATGTTATGAGAAAACTGGAGAAACACTAGCTGGGTTTTGTGACACTGGGTGGCCTAAGCTCAGATTCTTTTAGTTGACACCCTCATTGTTGCAGTAATTAAACCCTCACTAGCCTAATGCTATTCAATAAGCTTAATAATAGAGATTTTGAGGCGCTTTTGTCTGACTCCCCAGCACCTGGGAGGCTGTTAGGGATTATTAGGGCATTATGAAAGAACGTAATGAAGAAAATGTGATTCTGTAAAGGCATTTTACTGCTTAACTCATTGTATTTATTGTTGAATCACTAGCATAGGAAACTTTAAAGAAAGCAATGCAAAAGCTACAAAAATCAGACTTGCTGCCTTGAAGCCATAAATGTGACACATGATGACTTTTGGACCCACAGGAGTCTTTATGTCTTCCAAAAGTTAATGACGCTTGTGTTCTCTAGAAATAACAAAATATTAAACTTTAACCCTGAAGTCCGTCTAAATGTTCCCACAACCCACCCCTGGGTCCGACCCATCATTTCAAAATTCAATTCAAAACTACTTTATTAATCCCAGAGGGAAATTGATTGCTGTAGTAGCTCAGTATAATAATAATAATCAAGTCATCAAAGAGTTGTTGTATATTACAATGGCTGTTGGCAGGAAGGATCTCCAGTAGCGGTCAGTGTTGCAGCGAAACTGAAGAAGAAGAAGAAGAAGAATTTTAACACAGGTGGTGCCTAGATTTGTTGCGTAACATCCATCCTATCCCAGTCCTTTGAAACTAAGCAACCGTCTAATGCCTTCCTCTTCCTGTCTGTGGCCGACTGTCCCTCTGCGATTACAGCAGACAAATTGTTTATAGAGGATTATGTAATGATATTCATTCATTCCCAGTCATGCTTGATGAGCTGCTGGCCTTGTTATTCTTGCAAAGGTCTGAATGTAGCGAGTGGAGACTTGGGGCTCGAAACTGGAAGGAGAGATTTTTTTATTTTATTTTTTTACCGTTTAAATACTTTTAAGAGACAGTTGACATCTGAGCTGGATTTCTGACAGCTGATTCCCAACAGTTCTCAAGTTACTCAAGAGATATTGAACAACTGTCAATTCACGGGCTGTCAGCACTTTCTCTTTCTTCTTTTGCCTTCTTAGAGTGCTAGATGTTTTTGGCCTGCCTAACACAGTACACACACCTTATAGTAAAACTGATGTAGTTACATTTTATGGGTCAGAACAGTCCAAAAACACACAATTTCTAACTTTACGACCTAAGATGATAAAAAAAAGAAAGTCAACCACTGATTCTTTAGGATGTTTTCGATATAATTGCTGTGGCAGTCCATGATTCTGCAGTTAGTGCTTCCTCAGATAACGGTTGGAGGGTATTCTTTGCTGACATGAAGCCTGTGCAGCCGAGAAATGTTCAAACCAAGTCAATTGAAAATAACAATTAGCTAATTATCCAGGTTGCTCTGGTTGTTGGAGCTGCATGTTTCTTCATCTTATATAATATAAGAGCCGGCTGCTCCTTTAAAGGGATATTCCACTCCAAAGTGAAATTTAGTCTGTGGTCGTATTTGCCAGAAACTTTTTGTACCCAGCCCAGTCATTCTTCTAGTCTGGCAGTATTCTGTTAGCTTTAGCTTAGCATAAACAATGTAAGTGAATGGCAACAGCTAGCCTTTCAAGTGAAAAAGTTAGGAAAATAACTAAATAACAATCCTAATTTTCTTGGTGAACTAAATTATTATATTGAATGCAAATAGAAATAATAAGTAATACAGAATAATTAAAGGAGATGGTTTTGACTTGGGACTGCATAATGAAAAAGCATCAATGTAAGCCGTTGCTGCGAGGCACAAGGAGACGGCGTAGCGGACCCAAAACTCGCTGTTTACTGTCATTAGGGTGACATGTAAAGTCCTTGTGCCTCGCAGCAATGGCTTACAGTGGTGGTGGTTGTTGCAATTCACTTACATTGTTTATGCTAAGCTAAAGCTAACAGAATACTGCCAGATTAGGGGAATGACTGGGCTGGTTTCAAAATGGTTTTTCCTATCTAACTCTGGTAAATATGGCAACAGAATAATTTCACTTGGGGGTGAAAAATCCCTTTAAGTTGTAAGACATCTTAGACCTGAAGACACACTGAGAGTAGGAGACATTATTTAGTTACTTCAAAGAGTTTTATGGTGCATTTTATATAAGCAAAACACCCTTTTGAACATGGAAGTGGTCTTTTTAGATTTAGACATTTCTATCAAAAAAAAGTATAGTATCCAACATGGTTTCACACTTTGAAGCCAATTGATGGGCTCTGCAGAGCACATGGTGTCCATGGTACCAGTTCTACACGGAATGATGGGTTGGAAACATAAGTAAAATCCCTTGACTGTAGCTTGATTTTTCTATTTACTATGCCACAGTGTACTAATCCAAAACCTTTAGAAGACTCTCACACTCACACAGTATTTATGATAAGACCCAAAAAGTCTGTGCATTGCAAAATCATTGAGTTATAATATAGGGGGTAGAGAAGGAGACAGAGTTTTCTGTCAAAAGAGCCTTAATCCTTCCTGCAAAGTTGGAATATAAATTCCAAGCAGAGTGTCGGGGATTATCACACCATTCTTTATAAAATCTGCTGTTTGAGGTTGGAGGTGTTCATGTGTTAACAGTGTCAGATTGTCTTGCATGAGAACTTATTTGCCTGAAACCTGAAAGGTTATGACGATAAGGTTATGATGTGGTGTTTGCTTCAATTTCTGATTATTAACACCTCAGGGTTCAACATGCTATGCTGCTTTTGCATTGCTGTTTAACTGCCTATGACAGGGCACCAGGTGCAGAAGTAAATGGATCATATAAACGTCTTACTGAGCTGTTTTCGTATAACTAGGCGGTCACGCAAAAAAAGGCCCTACATTACTTCGTTTGGTGGTTTTATTTATTGTCCACCGGTTCACAAGAAACTACAGTTAAAATGTCAGTGTTTTATACTTAGTCTTTATTTTAGTCAGCACCTTTTGAATGTGTGTGTAAATGATCAATTTGTCTTTTTTTATTAACAAAAAGCCCACATGTCAACAAATTCACCAACAAACAGATAAGGATTTCCCACCAGTTCAAAAGCAGCAAGCTAAGACACTATTTTTAAAGATAAGTTCACAAAGTTTTTCTATACATTTGTGTGGCTTCTAGGATAAATGTATGCCTTGTGAGTCTGTGTGTGTGTGTGTGTGTGTGGGGGGGGGGGGGGGGGGGGGGTCGACTCACATTCCTGTCCCAGCAAGTAGAAGAGAGCCAGAGGAGAGGGGAGCAGAACTCAGCTGGGTTTGGAGTTTTACTCATTATTATTTCCTGATATTCAAACATCTCAACTCTGATTGGCTAGCAGCAACACAATTCTACCACTGTCTGTGTTTGCTTTGCAACATTGATGTTATCCACACATAAAACAAGCCTGAAGGAGTTCTGCCATGTGATGGAGTTGCTAATGCTAACAGTTAGCTTCTACTGGTCGAGATATTTGCTGCTGATTCCTGGATGCTAAATCAACTCCGCCATCTCTGTCAGGGGCCAAGATGGCTGATATACAGTGTGACGTAGATCTGACTGGCTTTTCTAACCTGAGCGTTTCCTTTTCTATTTTCTATTAGCGGCTAATACAGGAAATAGGGGTAGAAGACTAGTTTAGCATTTGGAAAACAAGTTAGCCTAAAACATAATTTTTTTCATGCCTCTTAACAACGTTCTAACATCGTATAGCTATACATGTATTGATGAGATTTTAAACAAAATGAAAAAAAAAGGAAGTTATTCTCTCTTTAGACACTAATAACATGTTTCGGACCAAAAGGAACTATTGGACCATCTGGTTGTCGGTCTCGCCAAAACGTGGCACTTCCACTCTTCCCTGGGTCCTCCACTCATGACACAGTCACGTATTTTGCAACAAAACACCACTGGTGTGAGAGGCTCTATGCTAAATAATATCAGAGCAGGAGAAACAGCCCGCTGCTACAACTTCAACTTTAGGACAAACTACCAGAGTCCAAAAAAGAAATACATAATTTGAAGTCACGGACAACAAAAGATGTTTTGACCTAGAAAATGACAAATGCGCTATCTTGTTTCCTCTGGCAACGTGGGTTTCTGCTTCCAGCAGAAGCGTCTCAGGGAAAGTACTTGACTGTGTTTGTGTTCAAAGCCTAGCTTGTTCTGTAGTTTGTTATAACAGCTTTAAACTCAGAACGACGGATCATATTTAGGTTTTCCTAAATGCCTCAAAACATTTGTGAAGGTTAAACTCATTTGAGTGCATAGAGTGTTGTATTGAATTTTCAATTTCTAAAAAAAAAGTTTGTGTGGTGAATTTCTTCTTGAAAGAATTGACTTGGTCATCATGGGTATCTGAGACTTGCAGAGGGGTTGGCAGTCTATTTGTGAATGAAATAAGAAATAGATAAGAAACTTTGTGACTTAACTGCAACAAAAGTGTGTGTTTCAATACTTGACTGTAGCTCAGACTTGTGTCATATGCCTCTCATGAGCCAGTTGTAAATAAAACGTCTTCAAACATGTAAATTCAAGTGTGAATTTATAGTTCTTTCTATTTTATTCTTACAATAGTTTCAACTGTTCGTCAGTCATGGTCAAAATCATGGCAACAGCATATTAAGGAGTGCAACAGTCTATCACGAAATTATGTGCATACTTACACTTGAAATTTAAATGATGGGAATCCCATTGTTTCATCTAATCTTGAAAAAGATTTAACATAAAATGTCATGTATATAAAAGGAGTTTTGTCAGACAAGTGAAACAAAAGAACAAAAGTCACTCAGCATTGGATTTAAATGTGTTTTGTTCCAAAGGTTGTAAAAGAAACAGACATGTCCAATCAAAGTCAGAATGAATACAGTCGTCAGTCAGGTCTTGCCAATCTCCCCTTGTGTCTCTCACTGTGTACCATACATGTGAACAGTGGCTGTCACACAGCAGCTGAGCAACTGTGACAACCACTGCTAGTGTGTCTGAGCGTGTGCACGTATGCTCGCCGAAGTGCAAGTGCACATTAGCTTTTTTTGTTCATGTGTGGAAGCTTGTGCACATTTGTCACCAGGGGCTGGATGCTGAAATTTTGCTCCAGCGAATGAGGGAATATTCCGGGCTGTCATGTGACTTTCTGATGTCAGAGAGAGAGAGAGAGAAAGAGAGAGTAAGGTGCAATTTAGCCCCACAGCTGATCTGTGCAGCGCTCAGAGAGAGGCTGAGAAGACCAGACACAAAACACACACACACACGCAGAAACACACACATTCTCTTACTCTTTCACTCCATGCATGCCTGTAAGCACACATGCACTTTACACAGACACATACGCCTTACTTTAGTGCAGTTACACACACGGACAACTGCCAGGCATCACTTATGACAGGAAAGGTTCATTGCTTTTCTCTACTTCCAAAGCTCACAATACTTTGATTACAGAGGACTTATCTGATTCCTGGACAAGGGCAAACGGACACTTACTGGAAAAAGAAAGGAGCCGGAGGCAGAAGGAAAACACCTGAGGACTGAGAAAGAGGAAGCTCAAAGGACAACAGTGAACAAGAGGCTGAGACCCGAGACAACAGGTCAAAACAACAACCGTGCAGGAGAATGTCTTTCCTTTCTGGCTTGCCGTGGCAGCAGCCTGGCATCATCAATGGAAGCAGCGGGTATGGACAACCTTCCAGTGGGCACCAGCAGCAGCTCCAACAACAGCAGCACAAACCTCCCAGTACTCCTTCCAGTGCCAACATCCCTGCAGTCCTGGCCTCTTCTCCGCTCTCTCCCTCCGGTCCGGCCGCTGCTCGGCACAGTGACTGGCACTGTCAAGGCCAGACGGCACCGGGGGGTGTCATGGCTGCAGCCCAGGCAGCATCCAGAACAACTTTGATGGAGGATGAGGTAAAATTAGGACAAGGTAGCACTGAAGGGATATCATCTGGGGTGATAGTACCAGAAACACAGAGCTTCAGTATGCCAGTGTTGAAGATTGAAGACGACTGGTCCAAAGGGGACAGGCCACAGGTGGATGGACAAAGGGCAGGAGGAGCCGGGGCTTCATTAGGGAGTGCGGGACAGAGCCCCAGCAGTCCTTTGTCAACCCAGTCCTCATCCTCATCTATACCCTCTCCTTCTTTCTCACCTGGAAGAATGTTTTCAAATTCAAATCCTAAACCTGTGTCCAGTCCCAGTTTTGGACAAACGAATCTGCAGCAAATAAATACAGACAGCAAAGATGGATTTTCTGAGCAGGGCTCTCTATCAGCTTTTCAAGGACATTCAGTACATCCTGCTCCTTACGAGACCTCCAAACCTCAGGACAGGATCGCCTCCTTCGCTTCAAGTACAACCTTAAGCCTATCTGGGAACCTACAAAAACATTTGAAAGAAGATTCCTTTGCAAGTAAATCTGATAGTCAAATGTTTAAGCCATACTTAGAAAAACAAGTTGTTGATGTATCTGCTCTTACTTCGGACCTAGCAAGGGGCACTGAAGACCCTTTAGGAGGTACACCCACATCTCCAGCGAACGCAGCTGCCACTGGCGCTGTGGGGTGTGTTGTAGGGAGAAATGGGTTGGAGGGACAAAACCTAAGCCATAGTGAAAAGGGGAAAGAAGACATGCGTACAAAACCAAGCAGCACTGTAGCAGAGAATAGGGTTGCAAGTTCTAGCCTGTCACAAGATCTGAATCGCATTGAGGATGGGAGAATGGGATCATGTGCTATACCAAACATGGACTCAAAACCAGCCAGAAGTAATGAACTGCCTCAGCGGACCGCAGTGAGACGTGCAATGTCTGACTGTTCACATCTGTCTGTTCCCATGGTAATGGCCGGAGTGTACCCCACCAATATGGGAACCTCACAAGTGACAGCGACCAACTTGCCAGATTTTGCGCTGACGGGAGTAACGTGCCCACCTAGGGCACCCTACCCTCATGCTGCCGTGCGTCGCTCACTCACAGTCACAGACGGCACAGAAGTCGCTGCTGCAATGGCAACAATCATCTCGTCTCCGTTAATGACGTCATCTGTACTGCCAGCATCTCCACCCCCAAAGAGGCATTATGGGAGCTGTGAGACAAATTTTTTACTTCCTGTTCCACCTGTTGGAACACCGCTTACCGGCAACCCAGAAGGTTTGCAAAATGCAACAGGTGAGAGTTACCTTTGTTGTATCTGTAGTCACATATGCATCCAAACCTTTTCAATTTTCAGTTATTTGTTTATTTTTCACAGTGATGGTAGCAGAGGAGTTAAGAGCCAGTGCTGTGACGGGTTGCAGGTTTGCAACCCAGCTGTCACAGTTGTTGTGTCCTTGGGCAAGTCACTTGCCTGCCGTTGGTGGTCAGAGGGACCAGTGGCGCCAGTGTATGGCAGCCTCGCTTTTGTCAGTGTGCCCCAGGGCAGCTGTGGCTGCAATGCAACTTATCATCACCAGTGGGTGAATGAATTGGTGAATGACTGGTTAGTTGTAAAGCGTCTTGGGGAGGGGGCTGAAGAACATTTAAAGGAGCTATATAAATACAGGGCATCTGCCATAGAGTGGTAAAAGTTGTAACTAGAAATCTAGTGGGGGTGTCGCTTGCTAGACGGTTCGACGCGTCACTGAATGTATGAAAACAGAGATGTTAGCGATTCCTTTGCACTACTTTTATGCTCTTCAGAAAATAGTCACAACTGATGTCTGTGTTTAACATCGTATGAAACACATAATCTTTCAATCAAAACTGCTCTCTTGAACTTTTGGGACATTTGTAGGGGTAGACCATGAATGTATGTTCTTGTTGGGTTATAGTTTGGTTGTTTGGTCAAAATCCATTATTGTAACTCTTTGTGCATTTGACAGTTACTGCAATTAAAAAGAAAACAAGAAGATTTTAAGTAGAACAGTAAATTTAGGAGACATAAGTATTAGTATATATCTTGTTTGTTTGTGACAGCAGCCAGTAAAGTTGGGCTGGGCTGCATGGTGGCGCAGTGGTTAGCACTGTTGCCTCGCAGCACTAAGGTTGCAGGTTCGAAACTCGGCTTCTGCCTTTCTGCGTGGAGTTGTGTGTTCTCCCCGTGCATGCGTGGGTTTCCTCCGGGTACTCCGGTTTCCCCCACAGATCACAACATGCCCTATAGGTTATAAATTGTAAGTCGCTTTGGATAAAAGCGTCTGCTACATGAATAAACATAAAGTGAAAATAAAGGCTAAAGTCTGCTATGCATTTAGATCAATTTAACACATTTCTGATATCTAGAGAAACTTTCTGCAGGAGGATGCTTCAGCTTGTCACTAAACATAGTTTGATCTTGCATTGTGAATTTTAAATCAGAGGTAGATGTGTGCACCCCTTTGTTCGTTTTCCATATTTACCACGTCCTGTAAAAAGGCTGCAGGGGCCTGGAGTCTCTTCCATGTGTCATTTGGGAATAAAAGGCAGACCTTAACAAGATTATCAGTCCACCACAGGACCACAGCGGAGACAAACATCTAGTTTTTACACTCAGTAAATTTAAATCAACCTGAAGACCAAAGTGGAATGCAATATATAAGGTCATAAGAAGCGGACGGTTTAAGTGGGCTCATCAGAATTTATATTTAATCAGTGAAGGATGGAGATGGATGAAAATAATATCTGGCAGATCGATTCATGTTCCCTTCATTGTCAGCTGTCTCATACTAAATAAATATTTTAACAAATCTAAATGCCAACCAAATGTGATCAGCTAATGAAAGCTTGCTGTTAACCCTTTCACTGACAGGTCAAGAGGTAATTGTAGTCCCTAAATCTTCTCAGCTTAACTTTGATTTAAAAAAATCTGGTAAGCTAAAGAAATGACCTAAAAATATTAGTGGGAAGTAAAGTAATTAATTTAATTATTACTTAACATTTTTATTTATTATATTAAAACCTGCATTGCCTCAGATGAGTTAAAAATGTAAAAAATATAAACAAAACCGAATTATTGTCTAAAGAATTGAGGGTTGAACCATTCAAAACAACAACTGATTTATGTCTGCAATGGAAGGAAGGTTAGGTGATGAATGAAGTAATTATTCCTTTATTTTTATTGACAGACACTCCTGTTATATTTGGTGTCTGTTCCTAACAACCTATCCTGCTCTGTGGTCTGATTTCCAGCCGGAAGCCGAGGCATCGATTAGACATTGACTCTGACTGTACTCGTTCAAATATAGAGCAACTATTTCTGGCATCTAGTGTGTGTGTGTGTGTGTGTGTGTGTGTGTGTGTGTGTGTGTGTGTTTACTTACACATGCTGGTGTGTGTAGGTGAAGTACTTCCACTGACGTGAATCGTACAGATTCTAAAAGCTAACGCCTATGGAGACAGCCGTGCTGCTGATGGCACGTCTGCATTCTAAGGTGCTCGATCATTCTGCGCCAAAAGAGACAAGAAAACATTACACTTATCTGGTTTCTACGCAGAAAGCAGCACACACCTACGTGTGGAGGAATGACACCTGTTAACAGGATCCTCAGATGGTGATGATCTATAAGCTCTTGCTCATTTAGCTCTTTGTGATTCTCCTTTCACTGTGACTATTTTTCATAATCTTTAGATTAAAAATAATTAGTTTATCTTGTATATGAGTCAGTGGTCTTTTTTATTCTGCTTAGACTGCAGGAAAAATGGCTGTTCCCTCAGGTCCAATACTCAAATATGAGCTTAAACTGATGGCATTGTAACTCAGAGGTTGTCAAAAGTGTTGGATCAGAGCAGCTTCAGGTGTTGCATCAGAGCCAAAAGGAGGTCAGCAGGTATGGGATGGGCATTCACTCTTTTTTGCAACCATTTATTAGATGAGGAAGTTTACTTTAAAGAACTTTATCTGAGAAAAGCATTGAATAAATCTGTGTTTCTGTGGTTTAGTTTGATGAGAAACGGAAGAATTCTTGTTAAACAGACAATTCTTTTCTTGTCTGAGTTAGCTTGATTTTTCAATCTAAAGTAGTCTAATGTAGCTGAGTTTTCAACAAAACAACTAGAAATGTTGTCTTTCATTCTTTAGCAAAAACTACCACCAGCCATGCGGATTCTAACCCAAACAATAGCTGACTTATTTTGCTGGATTTTAGAAAAAGCAGGATTTTATTTTTGAATACAAAATTTCACTTATTTAAAAGGCCAGATGGTTTTCTGGCTTTTAAACCATCTTCGTCTCGTTGGCACAATATAATGGAATCTAATGAGCTTTGAAAGAAAAGCGTCTGGACTTCTTTGAGTTGCTTGAAGACGTTTCACCTCTCATCCGAGAGCTCATTAGACTACAATGACCTGGATGACTGAGAACCTTCACAGAAATACATTGGCATCAATATCTCTATTTCGGCCGATGTTAGTCATTTGTTTTTAACATATCGGTATCGGTCTGATAAGTAAAACTGGGCCGATATTAACAACCAAAATTTTTTCCATCCTGTTTTCATTTGTGTACCTCACACAGAGGGGGTGATGATGTGTAATTGTTTAAAGTTAAAGTCCCATTAGTTGTCACACACACTGATGTGTGTGCAAAATTTGTTCTCCGCATTTGACCCACCCCCTGGGGGAGCGGTGAGCTGCAGACACAGCCGCGCTCGGGAACCATTTGGTGGTTTAACCCCCCAATCCAACTCTTAATGCTGAGTGCCAAGCAGGGAGGCACTGGGTCCCATTATTTCAAAGTCTTTGGTCTGACCCGACCAGGAATCGAACCCTGATCTCCCAGGCTCAGGGCGGACAATCTACCAGTAGGCCAATGAGCAGGTAGTCAAGTGACAGTGATGATAATCATCTCAGGAGTGTAAATGTGTGTGTGTGTGTGTGTGTGTGTGTGTGTGTGTGTGTGTGTGTGTGTGTGTGTGTGTGTGTGTGTGTGTGTGTGTGTGTGTGTGTGTGTGTGTGTGTGTGTGTGTGTGTGTGTGTGTGTGTGTGTGTGTGTGTAGAAATCTATATATAGATAGACTGACAGATCTATATAGATATACATATCTATCTATCTATCTCTCTCTCTCTCTCTCTCTCTCTCTCTCTATATATATATATATATATATATATATATATATATATATATATATGTATATATATATATGTATATGTATATATATATATATATATATATATATATATGTATATATATATATATATGTATGTATATGTATGTATATATATATATATATATATATGTATGTATATGTATGTATATATATATATATATATATATATATATATATATATATATATATATATATATATATATATATATATATATATATGTATGTATATGTATATAAAGCAAGACAATCAAGCATTTCACATTGGAGCATTCCCAGTAAAGCTCCTGGTTTCCTCTTACTGAGCAAATATTAGCTGAACCCTGAAAACTAACAGATGGAATACTTGTTTGTTTGCATTTGGACACATGCTGAAAGTATCAAACCTCTGTCTGTTGGACATATTCAGGACTAATTGGAACTTAGCTGTCGGTCCTGTCCGTCACAACCGGACACAGCAGCACATGCAGCGGGTCACCAGCGGTCGTGTATTGAACAGCGAGGTTTGATGGATTCTGTGTGTTCGCAGCCTTCAGTTTCATATTGGATGAGTTATTAGGTCGATGCTGCTAAAAATGATTTTTTATGAGCAATAAAACCCACCAGTTTGTTATTGGAGCGTATATTAAAGGCCCTGCTGTGATATTTACCTGAACTTAAAATTAACCAAACAGTTTTCATTTACTAGAAGAATGATCCAGTTTGGTGTCCCTTCTCAGTTTAGAAGCTTTATGTTGATGTTATTGTTGCTGCATTTGTCTCATACTACCTTTATGTCTTATAGGTGGAAACATTATCTCTACTTACTCACTGTGCCGTGATAACGCAATAATATGTGTCATGTTTAAGATGGAAGGCAAATCAGATTTTAGGTTTTTGTGTTTATAGCTTTGGACAAAATCTTGTATATTACTGTATTCATGTAGTCAGGTCCCTATATGAAATGTGATTATCACCAGTCTGGGATGATAAGAGATTTTTTTTACAGATAATCGGATACATCTTTCCATCTCAATTTTATTATTGTAATTTTTATCACTAAAGCTAATCATCCAAACACAAATAGGAATTTCTCATTTTTAGAATTCATCTTCCTCCATCGGTATAATA